ATGAAAAACTGTGGGGGGCTGGCACTGTAGCACAGGTTAATCCTCCACCTGGGGTGCCAGCATCCCATATGGGCACCAGTTCTAGTCCTGGCTGCTCTTCTTCCAATCCAGCTCTCTGCCATCACCTGGGAAAGCAGTAGATGGCAGCCAAGTTCTTGGGCCCCTGCACCCACATGGGAGACCAGGAAGAAGCTTCTGGCTCCTGGCTTCGGATCGGTGCAGCTCCGGCCATTTTGGCCAATTGGGGAGTGAACCAACAGATGGAAGACTTTTCTCTCTGTCTCTCCCTCTCACTGTCTGTAACTCTACCTCTAAAATAAATAAATAAATAAAAATCTTTATAAAGAAAAACTACACATGGATTCTTAATTTTTTTTTTTTTTTTTTTTTTTTTGCAACAAAATAAACTCATTCCATTTTCCATGAACTTCTGAAGTCCCCTCCAACAAGACCGGCTGACATTTCCTCTGCTGAAGCTTCTCCTGCCTACTGTGCCTCCCAGGTATTTACTGTGCCACTCATCTTCCCCTTAATTTAGCAGCTGTCCCCAAGCACCTTGACTAGTTAACAGCCTCATGAATGTGTAGGGAAAGCTCTGTTGTAAGAGAACACAGGATGTGTATCTCACAGAGAATTTTACTTCCTGGCCAAATCCAAATATCTTGGCCAGCTGTGGCTGCTGTAACAAAATATCACAGACTGGGTTAGTAGTCAGTGCCAGAAATTGACTTCTGTAGTCCTAGAGGCAGCAAGTCTGAGGTCAGGCGCTGTCGTGGTCAGGTTCTGGTAGCTAAGGACACTCTGCCAGACTTCAGGACAGCCTGTTCTCCTGTGTTCCCATATGGCACAAGTAGCTCTGTAGCTTTTGATAAAAAAAATAGATTGACTTATTTGAATGGCAGAGTAACAGAGGGAGTGGGGCAGGGAGTGGGTAAGAGTGGGTAAGAGATATTCCTTCCACTGGTTCGCTCCCCAAATGGTCCCAACAAGTCAAGTCTAAGCCAGGCCAAAGTCAGGAGCCACGAACTCAACCCAGGTCTCCCATTTAGGTGGCAGGTGCCCAAGTACTTGGGCCATCATCCCCTGCTTCTCAGCCCCATCAGCAAGGAAATGGGTTGGAAGAGGATTGACCAGGACCCTAACCAGCACTCCTACTTTAACACAGGATGTGGTATCCCAAATGGAGGCATAACCCACTGCACTGCAATTCCAGCCTTCCAGGGTCTCTTTTATGAGATCATGAATTCCACTCACGAGGGTTCCACTCTCATACTCAATCACCTCCCAGTGATCCATCTTCTAACACCATCACATCAGGCTTGGGATTTCAACAGGACATACACATCCAGCTCATGACAGCAAGATGGGGTACATGGCATGTACCGGCTAGTAGAACCCACACTTCATTCCAAGCTTAGTGTGGGACTGTCACTCCCCCTCTTCGTGGAGGAACGACACAGGACCCTGCGCCGTTCTTTTGTCTGCTCAGCCCTCCCCGGGTTTGCTGCTGGTTCTTCCCGGGTTGGCTGCCGTCCCTTCCACCTCCATGGAGGGGCGGGCCCCCTGCCACCTTCCCCACTTCCGCGGGGGAGCGGCACACCGTCGGCCGGCTCTCTCGGGGGCTGCTCAGATGTTCCTCAGGTGTTCCTTTTAGATGTTCCTGGTGCATGCCGTCTCTCTCCTCCTTTATAGTCCTCTTCCGCCAATCCCAACTCTGCTGCCCACACGCCGAGTACGCTGCTCTCCTCCAATCAGGAGCAGGTCCTACAGTTTATTGGTTGAACTGGAGGCAGCTGCGTAGAAGCTGTTTCTCCCTTCTCAGCGCCATATTGTGGGAGAGCAGATGCATAGAATAAGTCTTAATTCCAGTAACTTAGTCTAGTCCAAGTTGCTCCCCACATGGGACAACAAAAGAAAAAGAGAAATAATGTGGCTGCTCTGAAAACTAGACAGCATAAACATCCCACCAAATAGCCTCATGGTACAAAGATTCCTTAGGTGAACCTCATGACCTCTGCCCCTGGTGCTACTTTGATGACGTCATTATGTTATGTGCCAAAAGGAATTCTGTAGATTCACCAAGGTCATTTATCATTTGGCCTTAAGATATGGAATTTTTGGAGGTGAGCCTAACCTCATGTGAGCCCTTTCTTAAAAGTATACTTCCTCTGGCTTGTAGCAGAAAGGGTAGTCAGAGAGATTTCAAGGGTGAAAAGAAGGGGACATTACAGAAAGATGGAGGGAGACATGTGGAAAGGGCCTAAGAGCAGCAAGGGTCTGGGAGCTCAGAGAAAACGCTAGTCAAAAGCAAGCAAGAAATTGGGACCTCAGTGCTATCTAAGGAGCTGCTGACAATTTGAAGAAGCTTAGACTCGAGTTCTCCCCAGAGGCTCTAGAAGAAAGTGCACCAGACCTGACACCTCGATTTCAGTCTGTAAGATCCCACGCAGAGAAGCCAGACAAGCCTGCCCAGACTTCCCAGCCACTAGCTGATGGTAACTTGGTACAGAAAAATCAACCACTCTCAAACAAGCCAAACAAGAGAAGTTCATTGTGTGAATAAACATACCTTAATATATGCTGAGCCTGAATACTATATATCCCACATTCAAAAGCGCTTTTAAAAATTCATGGAAATTGTAATTAAAAGGCAAATTAATTTCAGAACAAAAAATTTTGAAATCCACACATAGTTTCATAATATGAATTTTCCACCAACTTTTTTCTTAATGTTTTTATTCAATTGTTTGTTTATTTGAGAGGCAGAGACACAGAGTTATCTTCCATCTGTGGGCTCACTCCCCAAATATCCACAATGTCCAGAGCTAGAATGAGGCCAAACCTTGAGCTGAGAACTCAATCCAGGTCTTCTACAGGGGTGGCAGGGGACTAAATACTTGAGCTGTCACTGAGTCCCAGGCTTAGAATTGACAGGAAGCTAGAATTAGGAGCAGTATCACATCTGCTATTCTAAACACTGACCTTCCTCAAACTTTGTGAATACCCCTCCTATGTAGTAAGAGCAGACTTCTAAAACAGTGAAAAGTACTAAAATGAACGCAAAGTACTCTTCGGATCACCTCTCAGAATGTTCTAACAGCCTGCACCTGAAGTGCTCATGTCATTCACAAATGATCAGATACTGAATCACAAACTAGGACATCTGTCTCAAGTGGTATTTACAGAACACTAACATTTGCCAAGTTCATCACTGACCAAGGGAAGCTGGGATTTTTAGCAGAAACTCCATGGACCAGTTATCTTCAGAGCACACCACCAGGCTCACGTCACTTTCTGAAGAGGCCAACACCCAATGTTTCTTTGCACTCCCACTGCTTGCAGAGGGGCAATAAGCTGGTGGGCACAGAAAGGTCTTGGGAAAGCACTCCCTATGTGCATGTCCTAGGGATCTCCCCAAATCCACACATCACTTAGGGCTCCCCAGAAGACCACAGCAAGTCAGCCTCAATCACAAAGACCAAGAGCCCTGGCCACCCAGTGCTACCATCCTCCCATGTTGACCGGCAACGTGCCTTCCCAGCATCCTTCCCTCTACTCAGAAGAGAAGTCACCTGCTGGACCACCTCGCCTCGGCCTGGGGCTCAGGTGTGCCTGCATCAGCACTTGTGTGAACATCGCACCTCCATCACCTACAGGGGAAATTGATGTCAATGGCATGGGAAGAAATGTAACCACAGCCTATTCTAAAAGCACGCATTTGTTTTATTTTATTTCAGAAATGTATGCATTATGTATGGCTGTGCATAAACGTTTTTATAGAGCCTCTTAAGTGATTTACCATGGGGTATGTGCTGATTATAATCTCTGCTTATTTAAGAGAGCCTTGTTTCCCCCCACAGTATTTAATACATGGAGACATGTTTCAACCAACAGTGACACCAGTAAACAAAAGTTACTGATCTACCTGGTGAGTTATAAAACTTGTAACATGCTGTAAACAGCTCTGTCATTTTATTTAGCATATTGCATTGTGTGAGCTGCCTTATTTATCTAGTGGTAAATCTTTATGTATCAAAAATGCTACAGAAGGCACAACAGATAAATTACCGACAGACACTAACATCTGACTAGTTAATCAAACAAATAGGACATGTAACAAAGAAAAAAGCTATAAATATTGACAACAAGCTGCTTCAGTCACAAAAACATTCAATACTTCAGTTCTCAAGTGTGAGTTTTATATCAGTCCCCTGGAAACAGTTTGTATCCTCCAATAAATTTTTACAGTTGATTCACCTGCCTGATACCCCTCAGCCATTTCCTTCAGAGGCTGTCAAAGCCGCCAACGATAATATATGGCCCGACCAACAAGAACAGCTGTAGCCATTCTCTCCGCAGGTTCTTGCACCCTGTTCTGCATAAAATAATACATCAAGATTAATTGATTTCCCGTCAGTCTCACAGAACAGAAAATTAATTTTCATGTAGCTATTTTCCCCAGCATATGAATTTTGTACATGGCAAGTAATTTAAGTTTTTAATTATTCATGAGCGAGGAGGGGGCGGGGAGGAACATGATAAAGTAAGCTCGCAAACACCCCAAGGCCAATCTCGGGGCCTGGGTTTGTGCTGAGGCAACAATAGCATCGGCTAATGCCCATATAAATAATATATGTATTAACATACATCTTAGTACAACGCCAATTTCTCTCACTCTGACCCAAGACTACCAGGTCAGCCGGCGGTGCTTTGTCAAAGTCGCGCGCCGGTGCCAGGGGCCGGGCTGTGGGGGAGAGAGAGAGGGAGAGAGGGAGGGAGAGACCGTGTCAGCCATGTTGAAGTGACCCGCCTGCCTCTCGGCGGCCGCCACACAGCCCAGGCCTGAAAGGAGGTAATTGAACGGTCAGCGAGGGAGTGGGACCGAGCAAAAGTTGCTAATCAGCCAGGTGCTACCTCAGCAAGTCTTCCATTTGCAGGTGCCACTGACTTGTGAACAAGAAAAATGTAACCAGAAAATGGAAAGAACGCCTCGGACTCACTCAGGCCTCATCTCGCACAGGCCCTCAGCGGACGGCGGGAGAACTGGCTCCTCCGAAGGGGGCAAACCCCGCCGCGATCCAGCGGGTTTGCTAAAACGTGGACGCGAACGCTCCCCCAGGACCTCCTTCGAAACTCACGGGCACGCTGCGGAGAAACTGCAAGGCAGGCACACGCGCCAGGCTCGCCGCAAGGCGCCGGACGTGCGCTACCCCCGCTAGGGCCAGAGGGGCGGCCTCTCACAGGACACGTCCCCCGCACGGGACCCGGTTTCCATGATTACAGGCGACGTCACGCATGGCATGGCGTGGCGTGACGTCTATCAACAACGGATCTTTTCCCCAATTCAACAACCAGCCCGCACTATTGCTGCCCAAGAACTGTACACTGGGGAAAAATCTCACGGCGGGGGAAGGGGGGGTCGTCAAAAAGTTCGTGGAAAAATGCTTCATTTTCTTATTCCAAAATGAACACCTTTTAGTTTCATTTTTCCGTGTGTCCCTGCACCCAGCCCAAGTGGAATACTGAAATCAGGTTAGAAAGGAGAGGCCTGTTTCAAACCACTGAGAGGCAGGGAGGAAAGATGAGAGCGGGGTAGCCTGGGGAAGCGACTGTGATTTGGGGGTGCATCACCAGGGAGGGCCCCGCCAGCAGGGGGAGCACTCTGGGAGCGTGCAGCCAAGCTGAGGAGGTCCCACACAAGAAAGGAAAGAAATCAAAGTCACAAAAAAAGAACTTCAGCCCAGGAGAGTGAGGGCACTTGGCTGTGGGAAGGGGGTGTGCTGGATGGGTCTGATGAAATAATAAAGCCATAAAAGTGGGTATCTCCACAAACATGGCTCCCCCCTCATCAAAAAGTAGGGAATCAGGAATCAGGGAATCGCCCATCTGCTTGGAGTAGGGATGCCTCACTCTAGAGGGTGGAGTAAAACTGTGTCTCCAGTGTCTCCATCATAAAACCTGTTTCCCAGGAACCAATGAAACCCGTAAAAACTCACTTTACACAGAACTATGGCACGGGTGCAGGAGCACCAAGCATAGGTTCTTTTACAAGAGTTTCCCAACGGGGAGATGGGATTCTATTTCTGTTACCATGATGGCTACAGACAAAGGGGCAACATGATACCTCACAGCGGGCAGCTAAGGGTCAGCCCTGAGAACAGCTGGTCCACGCAGGCGCGGCTCCAGGGAAAAGCGGGGAGGCATCCCCAGTTGTTTTGTGCAGTGAGTTTGTGAAGGGACCACCAATGAGCGCTGCTCAAGCCCTTGCACTTTTCATGACGAAACATAACAGGAAGAAGAGGTTAAAGATAGCACTGGCGCCCCAATAACAAAGGCCTCGCTCAGCCGCTGCCAAACGAACACAGGCCATGGTGCTGCAACAACCCAGTGCCAGGAGACAGTTCCAGGCCTCCTGAGACACCCAGGGCCAGGCCCCTGGGACAGCCCAAGAGTCTGCCCCCCCGCCGGGGGGGGTGGGGGGGGGAGCCGCAGGCCCAGCACATCATCCTCAGCTAATTATCTCCCAAGCTCAACAGCCAGCCGGCTCCTCGCTGCACGGGAGAGAGCTCTGCCACACTGCTGGGTTGGCACAGCTTGACAAAGCAAAGCTCCAGGAAAGAGCTTAGCCTCTCAGGTTTGGTTTGTTTCTAATGGGTGACAGAGCTTCAGGACAGCATCGAGGGGAACTGATCCAAGCAAACAACACACAATCAGGTTGGATCTGAGCTGGAGGGGTACACAGGAAGGGAGACCACGTAGGGTGTCAGGGAAATTCTAAACATTCAGAATGGCCCCCACCTGCCTGCCAATCAGCCATGCTTCCCCTCCAAGCCCCCTTCTTCTCCACCCTAGCAAGGGCACAGCAACAAGATGCACTCTGTTTTACACCTGTGTTTGTAGTTTTTCTTCATCTGAGGGGGAGGAGGCGGTTTGCTTCAACTCATTTTGAAAATAATACTATCGAGAACATAAATGAGCTCATTATGCATGCTGTAAAAAAATATATTTTTATATCTATGTATGTGTTGGCAATTCTGTAACTAAAACGTAAAGAACTTCTTGAAGTTGATGCTGCCGCTGGCATAGCTTAAAGGTCTTTGTTTCTCTAAATTCAATTGAGTGTTTCTATTTCTAAGCCTGGCAAGAGGTTCTAATTATTGTTAGAAGCCTAATTAGCATTTAGTATTACATTACAACAACTGCAGCAAAATTGTACCCATTCTCCAATAAACAGTATTCACAGTATGCAATCAAGCCGCTGTACCAAGCAATGAGAATTAATAGCACCGCACGACAATGCTAAATCCTCCATCTCCCGCTGTGTGTGTTTAATAATTTTTCACTCCTTCCAGATTGTTCCCATCAAGCACAATTCCCAAGGTCCTAATCAACCACCCTCCCCATCAATACTACACAGAGATCTGAGCACTGAAAATTATCTGCAATTTCAAAAAGTGCTTTGTTGCATTATTAGGCCACTGACCTAAGAGGTAATGGGTAAATAGTTTCTGAAAAATGTCCAAAGCACAACATAAATTAAAGCTTATAGTCTTGCCTGCTGTTCTCACCATAGCTATAACTGCAAACTATTATGGTTTTTACACAATATTCCTAACTATAATTTTACACCATAACATTGGTGCAAAGCACCAAATGCTCCACTTTCACGTGACTTCATTTACTAAACAAGGAGAGTTTGGGGAGAAAGCTGCTGTATTTGGTCCTCTGGAAATTCTCCCAGCCTCTCGCTCCTCCTCCTTTCCTGCCCCTTGGCCCATTTCCATCAAAATAAAAAACAGTTCAGAAGTAATGTGTAAGCATTTTAGGGTGCAAAGATCTAAGAGAATGTTACACACAACAGCATGTATTAGGATCTGTAGGTCAATGAAGTCAGGACAAAAGGCTGCTTCTTCCTGGGCTCAGGGACAGACCTCAGGCTAAGAAGGTGGCTTCTATCGTCCCCTGCAGTCTGCTGACAGGTGATGACCCAACGGCGGTGTCCCACAAGTCCAAGACCGGAAAAGAAACACTTTGCTTCAAAAATCTCAGAAGCATACTTGGAGCTCACTGGAGGTTCTTGAGCAAGCGAAGTAGAACTCGGAATCTCAAACCACAGCAGAACCCCGGAGCCAAGAGCCATGGCCTGGGTAACCTGGAGGCAGAGCACAGCACATCACATCAACCCCACCAAGAACACGCAGCTGACTCGTCCAGGAGTTTGGATTGGATGCTGTATTGTTGCTGATGATGGTTTGCTTTACATGGGAGCAGAGACAAAAATAATTTGATAGTTCAATGCCACTTAACCAAGTCAACATATGAGTGTCTCCCATGAGCACAGATCGGCCCGTAGTCTGCCACACTTTACCAACAAAAACACTCTTGATTTTGCTATCATACATCAATACTTGTCAAAGCAAGGCTCATAACAGTGGGAGATGAATGCCATCCATTTCTCGGGGCGGAAGACTTACTGAATAACGCAGTAGTACACCCAGATCTTCTCAACATCACTCGAATACTCCACTGCACTCCTCAAACATGGTGCTAAGTAATCCACTCAACAAATATGAATGGAAGGCCTCCTATATTCCAGGCACTTGGGATCCTTGGATGAACAAAGAGGACATGGATCTCTGCCCCTGTGGAGCTTGGATTCCAACATGGAGTAGAAGACAAGCTACACGCTAACCCACAGTCAGATACAGCTGAGGTGCACAGTGTGGTAAGGGAGCATGCGAAGGGAAGGAAAGAAGCAGAGCAGCCCAAGAGGATCAGAGCGGTGGAGAGGAGAAGGCTGCAACCGTAAAACAAGTGGCCAGAGTGGCTATCTGAGAAAGGCACCTATGAGCAAATACTCAAAGGAACAACAAAATTTAAGCAGGCAACATCTGGTGTAGTAGTAGAGACACCAACTGAGACACCCATGTCCCAAATCAGACTTCTGGGTTCAAGTTCCAGCTCCAGTCCCGATTCCAGCTTCCTGCTTATGCACACCCTGGATGGCAGCAGGTAACAGCTCAAGTACCTGGGTCCCTGCCAACCATGTGGGAGACCCAGAGAGAGATCCAGGCTCTTTGCTCTGGCCTGGCCCAGCCTCAGCTGTTGCAGGTATTTGGGAATCTCTGTCTGTCTTTATCTCTCTGCCTTTCAAAGAAAAAATTAAAGAAATAAAAATTTTTTAAAAGAAAAAATGCTTGATACATATCTCAAAACTCAAATTCTTCTCCTAGTCCTAGGTACCCCATCTACTCTACTTTGTGATAATGTTGACACTGGACTTGCTGGCAGATGCTGAATAGACAGGAATCCCCAAAGGGTGACAGGTGCCACCAGAGGGGAATCTGAGCTGTTGAGAATCACCAGCAACTATACCAAAGGGTGGAGGCTCAGTAAACACTTACCGAGTAAAGGAACATACACACAAATCAGTGATAATGCATGCATTTTCAGGACCTCAAGTAATTGTTGCCTATATACTAATATAAGAAAACCTCAATGTGTCACATTCTTAGAGCTGAAAGGAAATGCAATGTCTTCTAGTTGAAAACCTATACAAGAATGGTGTTTCCAGGGCTAGAGTGCGGCTCACCTGAACACTCAATGCACACCTTTTCACCCCTCCCTGGTGATCCAAAAGCCTGCTGAGGGTTCCGGAGGCTGGCAGCTCTGCTTCCCTCCACAGAGGCCCTGGTGCTTATGCTTTCTGTCCCCAAACATGTGACCTCTCCCTCCCTCTTCCCTCTCTCCCTTCCCCTCCCTTGCTCAAAAACCACTGGATATTTTTCCCTTTTTGATTCCACTGTACTCTTTTCAAAATACTTTCTTTTTTAAAAATTTTTCTTAAATTCCAACTTCTGATCATCTTGGCAAACCAAACCTAACACCTGAAGAAGTTGGGAGAGTAGAAGATGACTGAACAGCCTAGATCCCAGAAGTGGGATGACAAGAGAAGGAGGAGGCATCTACACTGGGCTCGTCAATCAGCACAAACACAAAAAGCATCTCCTTGCATTTCCCAGGCAGCAGAAAGAGCTGGCAGAGCCCCTTGCAAGGGTAAGAATCTTAATAGGAAAATACTTGAGAAGCCTTGTTAAAGAAAATTCCTTCCCAAGTAGACCAGGACTAACCCAAGTCCACCCTGTGCCTCCCTTAGGCTTCATGGTCCATCCTGTCCTTGATAAAGACCAACCCAATGGTATACAGAGAGCCCTCATAATCCCCAACATCCTATCCTTCCCCACACCCGAGCCCTACTTAAAGACAAAGGACATGAATGGAGGAATCCATTTCAGGAGGGAAAACAAACAAGTTCCCTCCTCTTGATCAAATAGTAAAGAAAGAATTCCCTTTTTCCTTGTGTTTCCACCAATGGCATTGCAAGAAGAACCGACTTCAAGGTAAGAAATGAGCATGTGACCTCCCACCCTGCCTCTATCACAAGCCACACAATCATCTCAGCCACATGTCCCACTCATTTGTGTTCACTCTGTATGGGAAAAGAACATTAAACTGTGGCACTCGGGTGGGAAAGGCCAGGAGAGCCTACTCATAGAATTAGGGCAAGGAGCAAAGGACAGGCACACAGGACAAAAACAGTTTACCTGATGCTGACAGATAAGCATGACAAATAGGACAGTGACAAATGTGAACCACACAAATGCCTTCCCAGTCCTCAAACAGCAGAAAATTACACAACCTAGCTGGCCTCTCTTGCATAGGAAAGACATGGAAATCAATTCATAAGGATGGCTTTAACAGTCACTATTATTCTTAGAATTATATCTGTAGTACTATACTGAATCTGCTCCCTTTGCATTGATAGGAGGTTAACATGAAAACATAAAGTATGAAAAAATAAATCTAATTTTAAAACAATAGTGAGAGGCCGGCGCCGCGGCTCACTAGGCTAATCCTCCGCCTTGCGGGGCCGGCACACCGGGTTCTAGTCCCAGTCGGGGCGCCGGATTCTGTCCTGGTTGCCCCTCTTCCAGGCCAGCTCTCTGCTGTGGCCAGGGAGTGCAGTGGAGGATGGCCCAAGTGCTTGGGCCCTGCGCCCCACGGGAGACCAGGATAAGTACCTGGCTCCTGCCATCAGATCAGCGCGGTGCGCTGGCCACAGCGGCCATTGGAGGGTGAACCAACTGCAAAAGGAAGACCTTTCTCTCTGTCTCTGTCTCTCACTGTCCACTCTGTCAAAAAAAAAAAAAAAATCAATAGTGAGAGCTACCACTTAGCTAGCATCTACCATTGTGCCAAGCACCTTCCCTGTAGGTGCTTAGTAAAGTTGGGAATTCAGCAGTGGCTTGAACATGACTGTCAAAATGACACAGGGGCATAGGCAGCCCATCATTACAGCACTCATGTATTCATTTTATTCCACCCTCAAGATATGGTGACACACACTGGAATTTGAGACCACAGGGTAATTAGGAATACAGATCTGAATCTATGGTGATCTTTGCGCCTGTAATTCGGGAAGCATGGAGCTGGTCCTTCCGTTGGAAGCCAGGAAGCATGACGTTCCCAGCCCATTCCTTTACATCCAGCAATGGATTTTTCAGGCATCAGCAAAAGGAGACCCCCTTCCCCTGACTCTGCTCTGCTCTGCTTCACACTGTGTCCATTTTCGTAGGGTATGACATCTTCAGGCTCCTTGGGCATGCCAGAGTGTGGCCCTACCTTCTAAGATACACCTGGGATATCCACAACTCCAGCCCTGACCCCTCCTACTAAAGAAAAGCAATGTGTGCAACTCTAGGCCTGAGGGATACCCATGTCTGACGATCTGAGGATGGATATGCATCTCGAGGTGCAGGTGGTAACACCCAGATACAGGCACAAGGGGCTCCTCCCAAACAAGAGACAGTCAGGAGTCATAGAGAGGGAGGAAGGCAGAGACGCCGGGCTACTTCTCAACACACCACCACGCACCAGGTCCATAAGGAGGCAAAGATTTTTCATTGAAATTTGGGCTTTCGGGGCCAGTGCAGTGGCACAGCAGGTTTAACGCCCTGGCTGACGTGCTACTATCCCATATGGGTACCGGTTCTAGTCCCCGGTTGCTCCTCTTCCAATCCAGCTCTCTGCCATGGCCTGGGATAGCAGTTGAAGATGGCCCAAGTGCTTGGGCCCCTGCACCCACATGGGAGACCAGGGAGAGACACCTGGCTCCTGGCTTTGGATTGGCACAGTTCCGGCTGTTGCGGCCAACTGGGGAGTGAACCAGCGGATGGAAGACCTCTCTCTCTCTCTCTGCCTCTCCTCTCTCTGTGTAACTCTGACTCTCAAGTAAAAAATAAATAAATCTTTAAAAAAATGAAATTTGGGCTTGCAACTTTCGACTGAAAGCAGATTTGTCACGAGAAGAGAATAGCGCCTATTTTATTTAGCATGTGTTAGTTTGGTGGATAACTTTAAATATTTAGACACTCAGCATGTGGACTTCCATTTGTGTTCAAGAATCTGCACCTGTTAGGGCAACGCTGATCCCTGTCCCAGTGTTCCTCCTCCTCACAGTTTAGCATTCCAAATCAGTGACTGTGTCCTTCCACACACAGGTGTGACTCCTTTTAAATGCACACAAATAGTTAAGAATCCAGATTTACACCAAAGACATATTTGAGAGTAGGTGTTCCACTTACGAAAGGATTCCATTATTAAGCAGACTCCTTTGATGCATTTGGTTGAACCACCTGATAGAAATTTATTATACACACACACACCAAAAAAAGAAAACTCTTACAAATTCATCTTTTCATGTGTAAAGTAAAAGTGCTAGGAAAAAAACTTAAATGACTTCCCTTTTCCTCCTATTACATTTCTCAGAAAATACTTAGTCATTGAGGGAAAAGTTCAAAAAATACAGGAAAACGAAAGGAATCATTTAAAAATCATCTCCTACAGCATCTGGCAAGATGAGCCCTCTTAGGATGTAATGTACCCTCTTCAGATTTTTTTCAATGTCATGTACATGTAAAAATACAGAGACGTAAGTGGTTGATTTGACAAGAATTCTGTCGTACTATGACTACACACAATTATTCAGTGCACCTGTGTGCCAGGCCCTGGCAAGTCCAATAATCAGAAGACTCAGTTTCTGCACTTGATAATGTGACGGGACCAACACACCAAGCAACGATTACAACACAGTATAAAAGACAGTTTTCCAGAAATCTCTAGGAAGAACTACGGAGGACAATACAGAGGCTCCAGAAATGGGAAAGACTCTGCCTGTCTGGAGAAGGACTTCAGGGTTTTGCCAATACTAAGATTCAAATTTTGGACTGCCTATTCTCACTCAGCGACCATCTGCTGCACTGTGGGTCATGCACTATTTTAGATCCTGGATATACAATAGTGAACACAACAGGGTTCTACCCTCAAGGAGCTTACACAAGCATATTTACAAACAGAACATAAAACAATGCAGTGCCTTTCCCTCAACTGATACACAGGAGACACTCACATCAATGTGTGTCGAATGAATTAAAAAAAAAAAAAAAAAGCCCATCATGAGTCCAGCTCTTGATGCTTGTATTTCAAAGGCAGCTGCTGTCCTTGAGGGAACCATATCAGACAGGAAGTTTCAAACCCAACCAGGGATGTCTGCTCCGTTTCACTTAAAAATATGAATCCAATAGGCTTAATCCAAAATCTCTAGCTCTGAACTGGGTTACCCTGTGTTGTATTTGATTTGTATTTCCATCAGTATCAACCCAAGCATCGTTATATAGACACCAGCAATGTGCATGATTTATAGCAAGTCAGTCAAGGTAAAGCCTACAGCTTCCCTTCACATTCTGACGTTATCAGATTACTTCAGAGGCTGGCGGCAGCTACCATAAGTAACAAGCTGTCAGGGTAAATAAATCACTCTCTCAAAAATAACTGCTAAAAAGTATAGATTAGTATGACCAGAGGTGGGCTTGGACTGCTTTTTTTTTTTTTTAATTTTCCCCTCCTGAATAAGTCTTGCACATATTCAATTTTATAGAAAAAAATAATTTATTTTCTTTCGTAAAAAAAAAGATTTCGGGATTAAGATCCATATAAGAAACTCAGGTCTCAAAAGGAAAGTTTGTGGCTCTTGTGTATAAATCATAAGACAATCAATTTGCAATCACCTAGAAAAGCCCAGGGTGTGGAGAATAACTAGCAGGTTCTGCAAAGAGCAGCCCACACCAGGCCAATTTAATTTCCTTTTCTGATGGACTGACAGGCTGCGGAGACAAGAGAGAAGCAATAGATGTGATCCACCAGGCTGGAGCCAGCCTCTCTGTCTGTCTGGTCCCACGTGATGCACCCATCAACGAGCTGGAAACCCAGCCAGAAGAATCATCAGAGAGCTGGAGCATCTGCTTCCCACCCAGAATGGGACCTCTACTGTGTGTGCACTGCCTGGGGTGGGCATGGACAAGTCAGTCCCCATTGTGAAGGCATGAAAGGTAAGGCCATGGCCAGTGTGCAACGGCTAGTGAGTTCAGTGGTGGAAGGAGCTGTATACCCTTGTTCTTGGGAGCAATAGTTAGGACAGCTGTGTAGAAACAAAAGCAAAATAAGGAGAATGTTCAAAGCCCATTAGACTGATTCTGGAAAGGTCCTACAGCAAGATTAATCTTGGTATGAATAGGATAAAGGCAGTCCTCTACAGAGCACCTGGAGTTCCTATCACATTCCCCCAAAGACAAAAGTGTATGTCACTAAGTTGTGACATCACCAAAGATGATGTGGGTCACAGTTGCTTCTGGAGGAAAATGAAAGGAAAATTTTTTGTGATGTGAAACAAGATAGGACAGCACTGTGAAATATGGAAAGCAGTCAGGTGGACAAGGGAGGAAGCTGCTCTAAAACCATTTGGAGAAGGGCAGGCTACAGTGTCCTGTCTTTGTTCAGTCAAGACAAATGCTACCAGAGGTATCACAGAACATAGATGCAAGTTAATGCTACAAGCCCCTTCCACCCTAGTATTTTAATGACTGTTTTTTCCCAACTACCCCTTTATCCTAAAGAATCCAAATATTCTTTGGTTTCTGCAGCCACATTTTGATTACTGAGGCTGAGAGAGCCATTGCAGCATCTCCCAGCATGTACCAAGAGTTCCCATCCCAGCATGTCCCACCCTGGAAGGTCTAGATAAAATGGCCAAATACTGTTACACTGCCTAAAGGAAAGTTCAGGAACTCCAGAGAAGACAATGAAGCATGACCATGGGGACCCGGGACAAATCTGTCTTACCTGGGGGCAGGCCCTACTCTATGTAAGCACCAGCTTGGCAATGAAGCTTTCCTCTGGCTTCAATGGACACACCAAACTATGCAGCTTTCCCTAGTAAACTCATAGAATTTCAACACTAAATTCACTGCTTAGCAAAGAGGGGAGTGGGCTATGTATGCCTGAGTCCCCACTAATGGTCCTCCCCTCATGGCAGCTTCCTGTCTGGGAAAGGAGCAGTTGGTCAGTTGCTCCAATGAAAGAGAGGGTGGGGAGATCCTAACAAGGGAAGCAGAGCTAATGGAAACTTGGGAATGACTGCCAGAGGAAGGGACACTTCAGCTTACCTATGAAGATGATGACCAGGAGAAAGCTGGAGGGAAAGAATAACTCAAGCAGAAATGCACACTCTACACCCATCAGCTCCCATCCACCTGAGTCCCATCCTCCACCCATGCTTATGCTTCCCAGCCCCCAGAACCACAGCACATCCAACTGCAAGGCTCTGGTCAAGCTCATGGTTCCCCCAACATTTCTTGCTCCTTGGTGCTCCACCTCTTCTGAGATATTCCAATATTGGCATCCTGACCAAACCAGAAATTTCACCTTCTTCACACCAAAATTTTAATGAGTCACTCACAGTTCAGATCAGTGTTCTCCACCCTGTGGACTGTGTCTTCACAACCCCACCACCTCTCAAGTCAATCGACTCCTCAGTGCTGGCCACGGACATTGTTAGTTGGGATCTCCTCACCATGGCAGCTGGAGATGCCGTGTGTTTAGGATGACTATGGCGTTTGGTGCCATAAGAAAACGAAAGTCTCTGAAGTAGGATCCACACTTCTACCCTGGTTTCCCTGAATGCCGGCTATGTGTCTTCTGGCGAGTTATTTAACCTCTCTGAACCTCAGTTTCCTCATCTGTGAAATTGGGAGCATAATATCCTTACAGTGTTATTATGAAAACAAAATGAGTAACATCTAATTCAGCACCTGGCTTATAGCAGACCCTCAAAAAACAAGTGCTCTTTCCATTTTCCCTCTTACCAAGGGAAGAAAAGAATATCAAAGATGACCTGAATGCAAATTTGAATCAAATGACTCCCAAAAAACGGATAACTCCAGGAAACAAACTCATCTATGAAGCAGACTAAAATGCAAGACACGGCTTCTAACAGACAACATTAGCATTTTTAGTGGAGACAGGTACACAACAATAAAATTAAATGAGAAGAGATTCAAACCATTGCTAGAAATGTCCTTTTTCAACTCTGCAAAATAAAAATAGAAAAGGAATTAACGGAGGGAAACAAATACCCAGAGATTACCATTGTCCTTTGTGATGTAAAATAACTCACTAAAATCATATCTGAAGATATTTTTTGTGTGTTGTCACCTTCAAGAACGTGCTTGCTGGTTAAAATAACCATTTGTAAAAAACACATAGTGTGCGTATACAGTGCACATGTTTAAAGACAGAGAAAATAAAAGCAAGTGATAACCATATGCACATCTTACTGCAAATAAAGTCTGTGACCTTTCCAAATGAAGACAAGCAGATCACTCTTCTGAATTTCTAATCTGATGCCCCAACTCTCCTGTTCCCCCCAATAGGTATTTTGTTTCCAACTTTAAGGCTCTTTACAATCCCTATTTGTCTTCTGTGGTCAGCTGAGCTCAGCTACCCAAACACACACACACACACACACACACACACACACACACCACGCACGCGTGCGCTCAGAGGACGGATTTGTCATGTTGACCTTTCATATCTCCTACGCTTTTTAACTGATCGAGATTCCTTCCCCTGGAAGCATGCACACAGCCTCACTGCAGAGGAGAAAAATCAGGGGAAGGATGGTGAAGATAAATACCAGAGGAGCAAGCTAGAACCTGGATATGGGGGTCATCGTTCACAGAGTTATTCAGGGGACGAACACCACGGGAAAGCCACTGAAGCAGGCAGTACACAATGCAAAATTACCCGGCGACCTTTCCCAGGACGTCAAAAGTCAAAGCAATCTGTAAGGGGGTGCTTACCGGGCGCCATGGGCTGGTCTCCTCATGGCCTGGAGCTCTGCCTCATCAGAGAGAGAAACCCCATAGAAGGGAACTTTCTTCCCCCTCTCAGAGTGACTCAAGCTCTGCATAAACAATGACTGACAGCATCTGACTGTCCCCACCACATGCTCCCCAGCTTGCTGGGGCTGAGGAGTGACCGATGCCATCTCAGAAACCCGAGAACACAGCCAACAGGACACCCAGGACATGGCCAGCGTGTCTTGTGAGTTCATGTAGGTTCTCACTGGGAGAAACCGCACCATCCTACGAAGGAGGCCACGAAAGCATATAGGTCGTATTTCAAACACTCTGGAAATCTCTGCGTCTAGAGTTTTACCCACGGTATTTTCCCTCCATGGAGATGAGCACTTGCCTCCCAGTAGGGGCCATGGTCATGAGAAATGAGTGTTTTTTCCTTGTGCCGGTAAGAAATCTTAAGACCTGGTATAGAAAGCACTCAGGCTTAACGAGTGATAGCCCAGCAGGCACACTGATTAGCTGGGCTCCATAACCATAAAGTCAACAATCATCTACCTCCATGCCCTTTCTGCAGGTGGCTCACCTACAGATGCTAAGTAAGCTGGTAACAGTTCAGTGGAACTTACAGGGGGAGCATTAAGCGTAAACATGAGTGCCCCAGCGTGTCCTTAACTATACCACTGGGAATGCACACCTGCACAGCCATCTATTACCCCACTCACCACCAACCACAACTTTCTTTATTCTCCCTTTGAATTTTCCCCACTGTGATGGCATCCGTGCCTAATGTGTTTCCCCTGTGCACAGGCCCTTCCTGCTTCCATCTGGACTTCCATACATGAGTCAGCTTTTACACCAAAGAGGAGGAGAGATATCCCCACTCCAGCATGTAAACATGAAGTGTAACTGAACTGCTAACACTCCGTACACATCATTTTCTAAGTTTGCCCATGTTTATTTTACATATTTTTGGTTTCTGTGAAAGCCAGAGAGACAGAGAGAGAGAAAGAGGTTGAGGGGGGAGGGGGGAGGGAGGGAAGGGCAGAGATACAGTGAGAGCGAGAGAGAGAGAGAGATTGATTGATTCCATCCACTGGTTCACTCCCCAAACATCTGTAATAACGAGAGCTGGGTCAGACTGAAGCCAGGAGTCTAAAACTCAGTCCAGATCTCACAAACTGGGTAGCAGGGACCTAACCACTTGAGCCATACCTGCTGCCTTTCAGGTTGTGCACTGCCAGGAAGGTGGGACTAAGAGTGGAGCTGGGTCTTGAACTCAAGCACGAGAACATGGGGTACAGGTGTCCCAAGCAGCGTTTCTCCTGAAATGCTAAATGCTGACCACCCTCCCCCAGAAATGTGAGCTACATGTTAGAAATCCAACATTCTAGTGTGCAGGACCTCTGGCCTCAGGGCAGGGGATGCATACACACCCCAACACATATATTTTTTTTCCTAAGGGGACTTGAAAGTTTTCAGAAAATGCAATTAAAAGATGTGTTTATTTTGGCACAAAAAAATGAAATCTACGAATATCCAGTCTCCAAAAATTTTATGAAAAATGTATATTAAGAAAAAAGTATGCACAAACTTCAATTTTTTTGCAGCAAAATAAACTTATCTTCTCATTCCATTTTCCATAAACTTTCTGGAATACACTCACATACACACTTTTTTTTGCAACCTATAAAGGAAACAGTTTTCAACTTATGACTTCATTCAACAATTCTATTCTAAGATTCTAGAACTATCCACTAGTTTTGTCCAAATAAAAGGACTTTCATAATTAAGCAGAATGCCTTCCTACCCAGTCAAACAAGGTTAGAGACAATCTTTGGCAATGGTTAAAAATGTCATATTTCTCCTTTTTTTTTAAGGCTTGAACTTTAGATCAAATTATGCAGGAACAACCAAAGAGGAGTGCAACTCTGGGTTCTAAGAGGTAGGGAGCAATCCAAATCTAGCCTTCACAGAAGTCACTACCTCCCCTGAAACAGCGGGTCATTCTCTCACACTGGGACTAGCACCACTGTGTGCTATGGAGTGATTTATACAACCCTACCCAAAAAACAGGGTAGGAAGTTTGACAGTTCATAAAACCATAAATTATAAATCAATTACTGGAGATAGATTGCTTTGTTCCCAGGCCCATTCGTCCCTTGGGACTCTCTTATAAATTCCCTTGAGCAAGGGGAAACAAAGAAGAAAAAGGTCCTCTCGGGCCACCTCTGCTGGGCCAGCCTTGCCTTGTAAGCCGACCATCCCTGTAAACTTCATTTCCACCCAGGAGTGCCCACCCTCAGGAACCGAGCAGAAGCTCGCAGAAATAAAGTGAAAAGACAAAGATAAAAGTGGCATTGACCTTTAGGAAGAGAGCAACTGGATTCCCCAGATCCCAAAGTTCCAGTGAAAATGGAAAATTCCTATTACATATGAGGCATTTCAAAAAGCACAAGGGAAACAGAATTCAAGGTAAGTTAATTTTGATGCAAACATGTTTTTGAAATGCATGCACATGGAGGCCTACCACAAAGGTCTCTGAAAATGCATATTATGAAAAAATACAAGGATATGAGTAATTTCACCAAAATAAGTGACTCTTTTAATTCATTTTTTTCCATTAATTTTCTGAAACACCCTCATACTTCAGACACTTGGCCAAACAGCTCTGCACATCCCCACAAGAAGAAACACCTGCACACATAATCAACATTTTAAGGACTCGCCTGATAACATCAATGGATGGATTTTTAAATCAGTAACTATACTATAACCCTAAATTTCTTTTTGTTTCTATCTTTTTAATTTTTATTTAAATTTGAAAGGCAGAGAGACAGAAACATGGAGATCTTCCATCTGCTGGTTCACTCTCCAAATGCTTAACCACAGCCAGGGCTAGGCCAGACAGAAACTTGGAGACCAGCACTATATTCAGGTCTCTGATATGGGTGGCAGGCACCCAAGCACCTGAGCCAACGTGTGCATTAGCAGGAAACTGGATCTGAAACAGAGGAGCTGGGACTCAAATCACACTTGCTGACACTGGGGGCAGGCATCCCAAGTGGTGACTTAACCATTGTGCCACACACCTGCCCCCAGTGTCCCTAAACTTCAATAGCAAAGAAGCAGCTTTATTCTCCCTTTCAAGAAAAGCTAATGTTCTCATGCCGTGTCTGAGATGATAAAAGTCGAGCAATCCAGTTTGGCATAGTCCTGGGTTTTGTACTGGAGATAGGTATCCATAGGCAGGTGCAATCCCACAAAACACACTCCAGCAGGACATTCAACCCCAAGTGACAGCACTGACAGAGTCTCACCCTTGGTGATCCTGTGACTCCATTCCCTAAAACCAGCAGCAGTACACAACCAGCAATACTCTGCTACTCCTCAGCTTCTCCAGAAAGACTGCCTGACAATAGCTTGGAACAATACCAAGAAGTCCTCGGTTGAGTCCTGTTGTGGAGATTCTTAGCAATGTGAAAGTTCCCAATTTAGAGAAAGGACAACTGAAATCCAGAGTGAGAGCCTAAGAACTGACTGCAGAAAGGGCTGGGGCTGAGTTCCAAGCAGAGCATAGGTCTACAGTGTGCAAATGTTGGCCTCTTTTCATGACACCACACAGTTCTTCAGGTTGAAGACAATGTCAACGTTGCTCAGGCTGTGTGGCCTCAGAGATCAATCTTTCCTCCCATGCCACAGATAACTTCTAAAACTCAGAGAGTAAATGGTGATGCAAATACTACTATTAGATATTTATTATGTTGCAAAGCTTGAAAACAGTCGGGAAAATGGAAAAGTTACTTTTTTCCCTACACAAATTTGTTAATGGGTGGCATAATGGGGAGCCCTGTTTGCTGGCACTCTGTGAAACATCTACAAATTGCCTCGGCAGAGCATTACAGGTTGTCAGACTAATGCAGTTGAAGATAATTTGGCCTTTCAGTGAATTGAACCTCACAGCACGATTATACTCCACAACCAAGTAGAGTGTCACAATTATTCTTTCATGCTGAATTACCATATAATGTCATGAGTCTACCTGTCATAAGTCCTGCAGCCTAGCCTGAATTTTTTTCCCTAAATCTACTGTTCATGGCGAAAAAAAATAATAATAATAATTTTTTTTGCTTCTAATGGAAATCTGATTGTTTTTATCAACAACAAATTTCATAGCAAATCAAAGGATATGCTTGGACAAACAATCCGATACTCAAGGTTAAAAAACACACAAATAATAAATTGCTGGTGTGTCATGTTCAATTTTTACTACGGCATTACACTGCAATAACCATAACAGGATCTAAATTGTTGTCAGAACATTAAACAAACCCCCACACTTCACAAAGGCATCCTGTCTGAGTGATTCACACAACGGAAACAACTATCAAATTTTCCACTGTCCCACTGCCACACCATACATCAGTGCAATTTTATGTATTTGGACAATTCGTTGAATAAATTACTTCCATCCTGCCTGCTCTTGCCACTTCTGTTAAGAGTCATATCAGTTTTAATTGTCTTTCTGTCTATATGGAGCCACTGTTTTTCTGGCCTTTTCCTGTGCTATTTCCCGAGCACCAAAATAAACTACAAATACCCATTCGAGCTGGGGGTGCACAAAGGCAAGAGAGGGGCATCTCGCCAGAGGCCAAGGCGTCTTCCTTCTCCTGCTTTACGCCAGTTGATGAATGTGTACTGGGAATGTGACATTTCATGGTATTGGTATGGAAACAGGGTCTTTTCAGCATCACAGTTAACTAAAATCCATAGGTACCCAAGACACCACATTCTGCCCGGTTGCCACTCATTGTTGACTTTCTGTTTGTTACAGCATTCAGTCTGGCATGGGAAATGGGCTCAGCCCAACCCCCTTCGTGGTCAGAATCCAGCTCATCAGGGCAGTTTCACTGAGCATCTTGCTCCCAAGCAAATGACAAGCCCACTTTCCCAGGTTGAGTATCTGACCACTGTCAATGCACAAGGGTGCTTGCCGAAAAGTACAGCTGTAGGACAAGGAGCACCATAATGGGCACAAATAAACTTTGTCTGTAGAGGTGGAGCTAATGACTTCCTATCGTGTTTCCCAACTCCTTCAATAGCAGACTAAATGGACACGGACCACAGGGAATCAGATCAATCGGATGCAACTCTGTTTCCCAAATAGATGCCGAGTTTTGTCCACAATACAGGCAAAGTTGACCTCCTGGGCCAGATAAGTCAATGCAAAGGAAAGCAGGAGAGGCCCCTAAGCACCCCAAATCAACCTGCGTGATGCTTTAGGTAGATTCCATCACTCATGTCACCAAAGGCAAACAACTAACCACACTGAAATGTCACCACAATGACCATTCGAAGCCTGATGCTGCCCACGAAGCCATTTTCCTGCTGTTTGTCAACAAGAAGCCCCGCCTCATTGAACTGGCTCCCATACCCGTCTGCTATATACGAATCAGTGCCTACAACAGAGTTGGGTTTGTGGCTCAAGTGAACCCAAATTGGAGGAAATCGCATTCTGAGAGGCTAGCCCCAGACCTAGTGTCCCCATGTTAACTTGGTAGCCTTGCTGGGTAGCAGAAAGTAACTCTTTATTTATAACCCCAAAAGCAATAATAAACACGGAACTATGATTTACTCTGAACCTCCCTATTATTAAAACACTTTGTCTTATAGTTTTATTGATTTACAATCTGTCCTACTTACTTTTTTAGCATCTGAAAACAATCAAGGCACAAAGCTGCAAAATGTTTGGACTTTAATTGTTAGGAGACAGCATTTTATTCCAGGCGAGGGGTTTGAGGCCTCGACAGCGATGCATTCTGGTACTGGGATGATTTATGGTCTTGTAGCAATAACGATGCACCAGGGCCATTAACATATTGGCAGGCCCTAGGATGGATTAGTGGCATTGATTATTTCATGGGCCACTGATACCCATTTGTTACGAGGAGCTCAAAGATGGCCTCTCTCTGACTAAAATCTTTTTACGAGCAGACAGCATTTTAAGTATTAGGAACCTGGGATTTGGGCCATTTTTTATCATCTTGCTGTCGCCTCACCTTAGTATGCAACCCCCCCAAAAAAAGGTGTCAAAAAAATTAAAGTTCATTCCTCACCACCAGCCTTAATTCCTCAACTCGTCATAACCACGTCTTCTTTAAAAATTAATGATTGCCAGCATTTAGCCACCAGTTGTTGCTATGAAGATCTATGCAAAAAGCAAGGATCCCTACAGAGTGTGTGATATATGGAATACTCTTTATTACTACAATAAAACTTACTGACATTTCAATACTTCTGCAAATAGCATTATAGTATCAATCTTCTGAATTAGGTTGAAAATTAAGTTGTAAATTAAAAGAAAGTGTACTTTGGAATACAACATGATACGTCATCCAGAAAAGGACCTTCGCACATAACTGAGCTGAGCTGGGGACAGAGAGCTGAGCACAGCGTCCTAGCAGTACTGCCTGCAATCTGAGGACCCAGGTCCAGCCAGAGCATACACCGAGAATCCCGAATAATCTACCACTGGGGGCATTTTTTAATTCCTGTTAAAGTCAAGGGATTTGACAACAGCCTTTTATACACACAATGAAACTCCAAATCTTAATATATTTTTCTTCTTCGCACCATTCTTACTGTAAATTTCAAATTGAGAATATTTAGAATAAGTGCCTTAAAATTTAGACAGATATTACATATACATTATATGTATAATGTATATAAATACATGTATGGATCATGACCTTTTCCTTCTCTGTGTCATCAGACAGCAAATTCTTCCCCATCCTCACACACCCTCTCAGCCCCATCTTTAAAGACACTCAGAGCAGAGAGCTATCCAGGGTGCAAAGTGACAACTCCCAAAGCCTGGACAGCTTTGAAACTGCTAGGCTGGAAGGCTAGTGTCACGTACTGTGAGCTTTTTACAAACAGTCTCAGACTGCACCCAACACAAAATGGTTATGTAAAAAACTACCATGTTGTGGAAAAGTTACCTGTTGTCTACCACTGCAACCTAGCTTCCACGGTATCCTCCGAACCCACAGGATAAGACTGCACGGTTAAAAAAAGTTCACTCTAGAGATTCAAAACATCTTCAAGAAATCCAGACTAACTCCTGCCCTCGATGACTTCTCCTCACAGTCTCTCAGGCTTCTTACCCAATACTTTAAACTAGAAGCTTTTGAGGTACATGTCTATTTTTTCATAGATTGCCACCCTCTGTTCTAATCTCTGAATTTTCAGAAGTCCACATACCCAGGGCCAAGGAGAATAAAGAGGTTTCACTGTCATTGTTAAGCCTGGTCACCTGGTAGGTGAAGGTTGAGATGACAAGAATTCTGAGGCAGAGTTCAGGACCAACAGGAAAATGCACCACATGGAATTAACCACTTGAGAAGGAAGCAAGGGAGCAGGGGAGTGGTCCTGGGGTTGATATTCTCAACTGGACACCCTTTTACTAAGCAACCTGGAGACCGCTCACTGAGGCTGCACAGAGCCTGACCTTGGGAGACTATCTGCACCCGCAAAATGGGCAGAGGTAAACACTGCTGCTCCTGCAAGGGAGTTTTAACACAAACCACACATCAAAGGGTTTTAGAACTGGAGGGAATCGTGAGATGAACTCCAAGCCTTCTCCTGCACAGACGGAAACATCAGACATGAGAAGTGACGCACGTAAAGGGTCTACAAACAGCAAGAGAGAAATAAAATCCTATGGCCCCTGCTCTTTTGCTCTCAAAAGTATAATGCTTCCTTCCTGTGCCTTCGTTTTCACTGCTGATTTTCCCTTCCTTCCCATGTGTATAATTTTCTTATTTTACCAAAGTTTAACGTACGAGTAAAACTTCTCAAATTTTGGATTATATGGGAAGACATAGACTCAATAATCTATATTACTGCAAATTTAAGAAAACAATCTTAGAGTGTGATATATGGTAATTCTGGGCTAAGTAGAAAACAACACGAGGAGTATGCCATTTTCCTCATTAAATTTGTGTTTTAAATAAGAGAGATGTTGTCAACGTGTACTTCAGGTACACAGGAGAACTTTGGGCTTTTGCATCTCATTTACAAGGCCTTTGCATAAATCATCAAAAAATAAAACACAAGGAAGAAAACTTCCCCTCACAACCTGAAAGTTTCTCCTATCATATTCAGCTTACAGATTAATTTGGATAGCAGGCCTTTCGTTTCTGATGGCAGTCTCTGTGACACAGCCTGTGGGCCTCCCACTCACAGAGACTAGCCGTGGCCCTCCCATAGCATGAGAAGACAGAATACTCAGCCTCAGCCAGTGATCCCCAAGGCTGTACAGAGTCCTACCTCCTCTCTCAACATCCAGAAACAGGTTTTCTGAACACATTTAGTCTCCCTGCCTCAGCAGAGAACAATACATAACCACACGGGATAGCAACCATCCATGACCCCGTGCTTACAAGTTAAAATTAAATCAGCCCTGAATAGATACCCTACAAGAGAGACACACCTTGGGTCACCACTACAAGACATAGCAAGTGAGAGAAGTTCTAACTTAACATGAATGGACTTACACGTAAACCTCACATGTGAAGTTAAGGGCTGACTTAATGTGAACACATTTACATGTAAATGTCTTTTATTCACATAGAACCTTCTCACACAGACCCACTCCCTGTGCACACGAAGAGCATCCTTCAAGCTTCTCCTCCTTAGGCAAATAATGCTGATCCTATAAAGCTCGTAGGCTCCATCGTTTCTCAACGTATTGTTATGTCTACAGTTCCTCTGGACTCCTGCCAAATTTCCTACATCCTTGCTAGACTTGGTAGCCCATATGGCATTTCAGGGTTGGGTGTTAATTGAAGAACAGCTTAACTGTTTGGACATGTTATGCATCTAATACCCAATTGTCAATCTTGTAATGTTTGCTGAGTGAGTCTATCTTTGGGGAAATGAATGCCAAATGAAAATTTACCCTAACCTATTTCTCTTCTTATTCTCTTTGGGCTTTTTGTGATGATTTGTTAATCTGCTTCACTGTATTCTATGAGCTCAAGTCAGCCACATATCTAAAATTCACAACCAGGACAGGAGAAAATGTTGAGTGACAGAGGTATTTGTCCTCTTTGAGATATTATCCTTGTTGCCTACAACAATAACTCACAAACACAGCTGTGAATTTCACCAAAATAACAAAGAACACACAGTGATGTCCACCATTCTTATTTCCAAACTCCACTCCTTTTTTTAAATGCCTTTTCTAAATACCTATTCTATTTTCTACACGAGACCATACTAATCCACCTAAGCTATCTGAAAGTTGTGAAAACACTCAAAGTGAATATCATCTTAGTTCTGATGGAGAATCAAACCAGGTTCATAACAGATGCTTAATAATTCACATGCTGATGAAAACAACAAAGAACTTGCATTACAAAATTGTTCTCAATTCTTCATTCTTCCTGGGCCTAGGCACCCTGCCACGTGATTTTATAGTCACTATCACCGGAGTATCTTATCCCCAGCCCACTGGTGATGGCCTTGCTACAAGACTTCCTTAGGCTCATAGCATAAGGAATGACATAACAATGGGCCAGCTCTGAGTCAAAGTCTAATGGTACAATTATTTCTACCACCCTGCTGAGAGCATCTAACACTCCAAGTAAGACAAACTTGCCTGGAAAGTCCATTTGCTCCAGTCAAAAGAGAAATATGGAGGAAAGCACACAGACCAGCCTAGCCAAGCCAGCATGGGCTGAAGCTTCCCCAGCCAACTCACAGAGCCGCACATGTGATTATACCAGCTTATCATCGAGTGCCACTACATGTGGCTATCTCATCAAGCAACACTGTGATGGCAACAACTGATGCACAATAAGTAAGACTGCAGTATTTGACCACCTCAAGGAAAACCAGGGCCCATTCAGACAGGAAAACGTGAAAAGCTAGTTACCATGTACTCTTCATGTAACTCATCCTCCAAAAACCAATGCTCACATACTTGCTGGAGACAACATCTTGAGGCAATACAACATTTTAAACACTTAGAAATAATCCTAACTAATTTTTCCCAGTAAGTAGGACATACCTTGTCTAAAATGGCAGAACTACTAAATTTTGCTCAGTGCTCAGAGAATACATGCTCAAGGTCTAAATAAAGAACACGCCCACAGTGGCCATCAGAGAACCTGTCAGTAGATATCCATTTTCCATGAACACTCTACCCTATGCTGGTTCCTAAGATGAACACAAGCCATCTGCAGAGCAGGAAGGCAACACCTGTAGGTGCTGATGATACAGAGGCAACCCTCTATTGTCTCGTTGTGTCAGCCATGTGAAGCCTCACCAGCCACTCATGACCCTCTCCCCCCTTGACTCCTGTCCTACGGACATCACAGATAAGGGGCATCCAAGCACAGCATCCCTATAAGAGACCCAAGGCATCAGGAAATGCTATTCCAAAAACGGCTAGGTGTGCCACCAAGGTGGCCTCTGCTGCATAGTGGTAAGAGCCATTAAAGGCAAGTTCCCGTTTTATGTGCTCCAGCCTTCTGCGGCAGGATCTCACCATTCCCCGGGAAGCTTGATTTACCACCCCATCGCCCTGCTTTTATAGGGCTTGACTCTGCAAACGGAGCTGATGGAGACCTCAACTGCAAGTCACTGAGTCCCGGGTATAATTGCAGATTTACAACACCTCCTGAAGTCACTCTGTCATACTCACGTCTTCTCAACATGTCCCCAGAAGGGATGCCCAAAAAGGCTTCAGCTGAGCTGCACCAGCCTGACCCCAGACCCAAACCCCAAATACAATTTATCTCACTGAGCCCAACTCCCCACACCCCAGATCTCGCCATTCAGGAAGCTCTGAAAGGATGTGATGGCCAACGATGGGAACTCGGCAGCCACATGGGCAAATTCACTTGTGGGGCAGCTGATGAGAGATCATGGAAGAGAGGCAAGGAATAAGGAAAGAGTGACTCTAGTCATACTGCTGGGATTTTTCACAGCTAATCACACCCAAGACTGATTCACTGCTCACTTCGCTCTGCTCACTCATTTTTCATATCGTCCTTTTCACTGCCCCATCAGCCTGTTCCACCAAGGTCAAATGAAGGGAATGATAGCATGTGCACCACACTGAGACTTATTATAAACGGAGTCACTCACCTTTTATGTGGAGTAAATGGGCTACTGAAATTACCGTTTATGAAGATAGACCCGTGCGAGAGTCATGTGAGGAGGCAGCAGGAGAGGAGGGGCTCAGTTCAAACTGCATCATGGAACCTCAGGGTCTCTGTTCCCACGCAGAGAATAGAGGCTAAGGCCACCTGCTAGCTTGAACCCAAGTGCATACAAGACTTGCCATCAATGTCAGAGGTGTAGCTCCACCTTTGTCCTACCTAGTGTAGAGTCGAGGAGGGTCTTGCAGGTACCCCATGAGCACATCTTAATTCCAGTGCACTGGACAGAGGATATTGTTCCAAGAATTTTATATTCTTGAAAATGCTTTAGGTTGCAAGTAACAGAATACTCAACAAAAAGAGGCTTACAGAGTAAGCTGTGAAATACATCAGTCACAATGTGTCTAAGCTGTAGTACCTTCATCTAGGGGAGGAATGGAGTTAGATCAATTGGTTAGCAGTAAAACTTTCTTTAAAAAAAAAAAAAAAACTATTGTGAAACCCTGGAAGTCGTGCTGCTCTGATTGTACCAGGTGGGGCTGATATCCTGGATGCCTTCATCTTTCAGGATGTCTCCTCCAACACTACTATGTCTTATTATTGATCATTCTAAAGCAGATGACCATGATACCAGCAGTATTAATAATACTGACGGACCACAATAACTTAGTGAGCAATTTACATTCTCCAGGGCTCTCAGAAGAGACCGCTGGCATGAGGCAGACATGGGTTCTCTATCACAATCCTTCAAGAGTTCATACATAAGGGATAGGTGGACAGAGGGATGGAAAGAAGGAAGGATAAACACCTGTTCAAAAAATAATAATCAGTTTATCTCCAATTGCCACTTAGATCAAAGTTCATCACAGCACTATTCATATGGGAAAATGACTTAAGTAACCTCAATGTCCAACAACATGAGACTGGCAAACAAAGTTTGGCCAAATATCTTGGTCCTCCATGAAACACTGTATCTCAAAGTAATCATTACTGACATGAAAGAATGTTCAAAATACATATGAGTACGCGCAAAGACATCCTAAGGAAGATTCTATGATTCCGGTTTTCTGAAGTGCTATGAATATGTATGTTTTAAATTGCAGAGAAGATAGACAACAAAATTCTAGCACTGATAATTTCTAAGGGGTGGAATTACAAGTATTTTTGTCCTTTGGAACTTCCCAATTTTTTTTAACTTTCTACAGGGACCATATTCATGTCTACAATAAAGGGAAAAATAAATTGAGAGGCATTAAACAAAACCAAAGGAAACTTTCCTTGTTTATTACCATCCAACGCAAAGGTAGAAAAGATGGAGACTGAGAGGGATGATGCCCCAGCATCACCCACAGGGACTCACAAGGAACACAGAAGAGGGAGGCTACGGTCTCAGAACACTCAGCAGAATCCTCCAAAGGACTTTCACAAAAACAAATACAAACAACCTGGCACACACTTCAGCCCCTCCTACCAGCTCAAAGTATCTGAGGAGGCGGGGCTCAGGCCCCAGTGAGCATTCTCCTGGATTGCACAGTTGCAGTGATTCTTATGGGATGCGCTAGTAAATCCAGTATGATGATCAAAGGCAAGTAGATACCCAAGGCAAGTAGACCTACCTCTACAAATCAGGACTCCATGCAATAGAAGGGACATTATCCTTTCCTTGAAAGTTTCTCCCAGATCTCTGTGGTATGCCAGGAGTCCAGGTTACAAAAAAAAAAAAAAAAAAAAAAAAAGACTAGAAATCCATGTGATCTATTATATGAAGCCAAATCTCTGGGCCACATGTGAGCCAGCTTTAATAAACTTAATTTTATTTCTCATTAAATTATTGGTCAAACCTGTGAAAAACCAATCCCTACCAAGACTGATACACAATACAGCACCCAAGTGGTCAGGTAGCTCTGATTGTGCCTAAAGGATGCTGGATAACCACAGGAGGGTGGCATGACCTCTAGGCCAGACAAGGACCTGCTGTGAGCATGAGGACAAATCCACTTCTGGACTTGTACTGGGTGAAAGATCATCTATGGCATGCCTGAAACTAGGTCACACAGAGCTCCATGCAGTAGATAACTTCTTCACTTCTTTGTGTAACTCACACTCGTATCTAGCAAGTCCATAGCTCTTTTCCCAAGACCTTGGCCTCAGCCATAAAGGAGATGTTAATGTGTTTGAGGGGTGCTCAACAGCCCTTCTAAAATGGCCGCTGCGGCCGGAGCTACACTGATCTGAAGCCAGGAGCCAGGTGCTTCCTCCTGGTCTCCCATGCGGGTGCAGGGGCCCAAGCACTTGGGCCATCCTCCACTGCCTTCCCAGGCCACAGCAGAGAGCTAGACTGGAAGGGGAGCAACCGGGACTAGAACCCCGCGTCCATATGGGATGCCGGTGCCACAGGCGGAGGATTAACTGAGTGAGCCACAGCGCCGGCCCCACTCAATTTCTTAAAATGTTCTTCCATGAAATCTCAGGAGAGAAGTAAAGGCACCCTGGAGGTATGTCATCAGAAAGTATCAGGTTCAAAACCAGCTGTGTTGGGGATCAAGCATGTGGCATAGCAATTGAGACACCACCGGGGACACCTGTACCCCCTAACACAGCACCTCTATTCAGGCTCTCAGCTCCATTCCTGATCTAGCTTCCTGCTAATGTGCACCCTGGAAGGCAGCAAGGGATGGGTCGTTGGGTCCCTGCCACCCACATGGGAGACCTGGACTGAGTTTCCAACTCCTGGGTTTAGCATAACCCAGCCCTGGCTGTTCATGGGCATTTAAGGAGTGACCTAGTGGGTGAGAGATTTCTGATTCTGTGTGTGTGTTTCTCTTTCAAGTAAAATAAACTAATACTTTTAAAAGTAAATTATGCAATGTTGTGAGAACATGTAGATTAGCATTCATTAATAAAAAAAATTGCATTACAGAGCCAAAAAAATCAGAGACAATTTTTTCAAGCTACTTCTTTTGGGAGGAGGAGATAAAGGAGAAAGATGGAGGGAGAGAGAAAGAACCAACTTTATATTTCGGTGGGAAGTGGTGGATAAAGGAAATAGTACAACTCATCAGCATCAACCCTAAGATACAAAGCATTCTTCAATGTATGAAAAAAAAGAAACAGATTCCACCAGTACCCTAAGGTCCTAAGTTTCTTAAAAATGCTGAAAATATGGGGCAAGCATTGTGGCACAGTGGGTAAAGCTACCTCCTGCTATGCCAACATCCCATATGGGTGCTAGTTCAAGACATGGCTGCTTCACTTCAATCCAACTCCCAGCTAATGTGCCTGGGCAGGCAACGGAGGATGGCCAAAGTGGTTGGGCCCCTGCCACCCATGTGGGAGATCCAGAGGAAGCTCCTGACTCATGGCTTTGGCCTGACCTAGTCCTAGCTGTTGCAGCCATTTGAGGAGTGAACCAGAGGATGGAATCCTTCTCTCTCTCTCTCCTTCTCTCCCTCCAGCTTTCTCCCTATCTTCCTCTCTACCACTCCCTCTCCCTCTATTTCATTTCCTCTCCCCTTCTCTCTCTCTGTGTGGCTCTAACATTAAAATAAATAAATAAATATTTTTTAAAAATACTGAAAATACAAAGCGTCTTCAAAAAGCTCACGGAAAATGCACAGTGTGGAAAAACGTGCATGCACTTCAAACTCTTTGCACCAAAATATATTTCTTTCCTATTTTTCCATGAACTTTTTGAAGTTCCCTCATATAGTGGCTCATTTTGAAACAAGGCTGGATGGTATTATGTTGGGAACAAGCTTCTTCTTCGCTCTCCAAACAAATGCTGTGTTTTGTTTCATCAGGTTTCTCTTTTGGAATTTTAATAACACTATCTCATGTTTGAGGCCTTTAAACCAACTGGTTTCACAAAGTTGCTTTCCTTATTCAAACAAGAAAACAAAATCTGAAAAATAAACCACATATTTGAGTATGGTATTAAACCAAAATAATTTGATTTCCTTTCTGTTGCTTTGCACAATCACCAACCGAATAATTTCAAAAATAAATAAATAAGACAGCTTTCTGACCACAGACTTATTTTCTGAAATAACCTCTATAAATAAGAAACCTGTTATCAAATACGCAATACTTGCCACTTCTCTTAAGAAAAAACAATTCACCTTTTCTTTCTCTCCCAATTAATTTTCTCTTTGCTAATGTAACATATTTGGGGTTTGGGCTAGAATACCTTTGGTGCTTTGAAATAAAGGGTGACCAGCTCTAAATCTGTAGCCATACAGTAACACGCACGGCCCGAGGAAGGGTACGAAGCCACCAACTTTTTCCTGCACTGTCATCTCCATTCCTGCAGGCATCACCCCACTATCCCACGCCTTCCTTATGTGACAAAAAATCTCTTTCCCCAACCATCATTTTCCAAAGGAGCAGGTAAATATCATTATTTACCACACAAAAGCAACAATAACTGATTAAAGTAAATTTAGTGGAAACATTCAAATAATGGCAGGGAAGAAAATTTATTCAGCAGCCACACTGTGTGAACTTATTGGGAATAATCAGCTGCTCAGTTTGAATTAAATGAGCGCAGGTGAACGTAGCCGGCAGAGTGGGGTGGGAGGAGGTTCAAAGAGAAAGCCTGGCCCAGGCCAGCAGAGATCTGTGGCTGTCCCTGGGCCCCGGCTGGCAGGGAAATCTGCAAAGATGCAAAGGATCCTTGGGTGTTGGGTTAGCAGCCAGTAAATTGCTGTGGGAGCTAAGGGCGGGCATACTTCAGCAGGCAATTCCTCTCTGTCTTTCATTCTGTTTGTCTGTGTTAAATTCCCCCTCTGCCCTCATCCATTCTCACATCCAGTTCCCCGCTTTGTCCATCCATCAATCCCCTCAGTTTGTCAGTGCTGACTTCATCGTGGGGCTCACAATCACATTGCAGCCATCCCAGGCCGCGGCGGAGCCCCCGCCTCCCGCCGCCCCGCCCGCACCGCGTTCTGCTGACAGAGGGCCCGGCCGGGCCGCTTGTCGTTCTCTATTGCACAGGCCAGCAAAAACACTAATACTCAACCTGATTCCTATCGTCCTGCTTTTCACCTTTCCTACCGAGGGGAATGCAAGAGAGACAGACACCGAGGAGAGGGGGAAACCGAGGGGAGGGGGGCGCTGCAGATGAGGGGAGGGATAATGGAGAGAGATGTTTGCTGAATTTTCTAAAACAATTTGCACACCAGTCAGGTGGAGGCTCAATCCAGCTTTCTGGACCACACATCAATAGGAATCACAGGAAGAAAATGTAGCACTAATGAAGGCCTGATAAGCTGTAGTAAGTGCAGCTGGGGGTGGAGGGGAGTGGGAGTGGAAGCAGTCCACTAGCCAGGCCTGCACAAGCTCCACTCTAGACAGCGCCTTCCTCGCCAGCTGAGAATGGAAATGTTTCAAAGCTGTATTTAAAAAAAAAAAAGTTTCATGTGCAAAAATCAAACAGATAAGGTTGGAGAAAAATATTAGACGATCGCTTTTATTTGAAAGATCATTTGCAAAACATTTCACAGGGCGGGAGGGAAAAGCTTACTAAAGAGGGAAAAAAAATAGTTACCTAGCAACAAAACTATCTGAAAACATTCTAGAGCGTACTGCCTGAGCGGCTGCTCTTCATTCAAAGGTGCGTGATTCCGAGCACTCGCCGAACTCGGGAAATATCTTGCTCTTGAATTCTAAATTCCTTTTTCCCCTCTAAACAGAGCAAACTTCACAATAAGCTTCATTGTGAGGATAAAAATTGGTGTGTGCTGTATACATTTTTGTATTAACCCTCAAAAAAACCTTATCAGGAATAAAATTAGTAAAACTGTTTGTACAACAGTGCCTAAAATGACTCTAAAGGGGTTTGGTGGGGGTGGGTTTTTCTATAGATGGTACTCCCCCCCCAAAATTAAGTATAATAGCAGTGAGCTAGCACTGGAGAAGAAACGTGGCTAAGTATGTTCAGGAATGTGACTTGAACCTCACAACAATTCATCAACTCGTCTGTTCGGAATGGAGAGGAGACAAGACCAACAATTCAGAAATGTATCCCAAACCATTTCACTACAAAACAAGGACGTCGGTATGTGGAAGCAGCTGTTGGCTGTTGGAATTCAAGTTCTCTAATAGGTCGGCACATTCCTAATTAACAACAATGAAAGCCAAAAAAAAAAAAAAAAAAAAAGGATTTTTGGGATAAAGAAAAAAAAAGTGACTGAACTCCATCAGTCTCTTGATCCATAGCAGGACCACCACAAAACACTCAGAGTGATGGCTTCTACATCACTGCAAATTGTTATCTGCGGAGACTACTCACTTTTTTACTGAAACACCATTAGACTGCATCTGCAAACAAACCGAGAGGTGTTTCCGGAATTCTCTGAGACTTGGCAGTGGCATAAGAACAAATGTGCTACCTTACGGCGCAATCGCAATGACTTGGAAGACTTCTGCACAGGCTTGAATGTCTAGGTTTGGGGTCTTTGTTAGGAAAGCAATCACAGGATCTTGTGGTCGCGCCGTGTACGGTTGCAGTTAAAAGGCAAACTGCCAATGACTGACCCAGGCAGATGACCCACGGGATGAAAAGAAAAGAGAGGGACTGGACAGCCCACAGAACTCCTGCCTTCAGTCCTCACGCCACACTGCCACCACGCATTGCACCCCAAGCCTCCATCCTCAGCTCGCTCCTCACTCCTTTTGTTTCTCAAACCCACATTCCCACATGAACTGGGCTGTGACAGGAGAGACCAGGGAAGGGAGTTTAAAAAAAAAAGCAGCAGCAAAAAGTCTCCTCCGCTGCGCTCCTATCCACATCAGACATCTCTAATTAGACAGCAGCAAAATTTTATTAATAGGATGGACATTATAGAATGAGCTTGTTATAAATGGGCCCTGTCAGGGCCTTATTCAGCTACCAAATGAGTATTCTCAGTTCAGTGCTCTCATCTGAGGCATCACGCCTAGTGCTGGGTAACAAATGATTGCTATTAACCGTATTGTTAGTAATGATGGCTGAAAACAAACAAAAACCCATAAATAACAGTCTACAGAAAAATTAACCCATAAACTTGATAGATACCCAGCTGAGAAATAATAAATGACACTTTGGGGCCTGCTGGGAGATGCTAGTGGTTTTTGTTTTCCTCTCTGTCATTAACACATTTTCTGTGCTAAAAATTAGATTCTGATATATAATTATCAACGCTCTCAGATATTAATTCTGCCATTGCTCCCTCGGTTTCTCTCTGCCTGGGCTCCAATGTTACTCACAGATTACTCTGAGAAAACGCATCAAACACTTAACAGAACAGGTCAGAGTGACAAGAAGCTTCTGTGGACAACACCAACCTGCACCGCCTTTTTTTTTTTTTAACCAAGGACACAAAACAAATTTCTCGTATTAATTAGCGAGGGTTCCCTTCCAGCCACAACAGTGTGATGTGAGCTAAGTGAATTCTTTCCTTCTTTAATGAAGGCTGCCAAGAGAAGTAGGGAGTGGCAAAGTTATCTTGCATTAATGGCGCTCAAACCCACACTCATTAAGGTCTTTCCAAGAGGACACAAGTCCAGAAGCACATTCCCCCCAACGGGGCTGAACCCAAGGGCAAGGACAAGGACATACACATGGAATTAAGCTAGTGAGCAGGAGACCTTCCCCCAAAAGGAACCGGAATTTCAAACACAGAATTCGCACTGGCATCGCCACTAAGAAGGACCTTGACCTCCCAAGCATTATGACTTCTGCACGATTAATTGACCTTGAGTGGAATATGAGCTCATTCACCAATGGCTTGTATTTGTCAGGAACTATTGAGAAAAGTGAAATGCACCAGACTCCTCCAAGAAATGACCCCATAAACCAACAAAGACACGCATGCACACACATACACCACACACTCACATGCATACCAGTCCTCATTATCACCACTGCCAACTACCCTATAAATATCTTCTGCTCTCTGAAAATTTAATTTCAAGAAAAATAACTGGGGAAAGCAGTTTTTTTTTTTAATTTGTTTATTTATTTGAGAAAAGTAGAGTTAGAGAGAGACAAGAAGAGGTCAAAACCAGGAGCCAAGAGCTACATCCGAGTCTCCCAATGTGGATGGCAGAGGTCCAAAAGCATTTTCCACTGCTTCCCCAAGCACATAAGCAGGGACCTGGATTGGAAGCAGAGCAGCCAGGCACTCTGATATGGGATGTGGGTGTCACAGATGAAAGCTTAACCCACAACACCATAACACCAGCCCCAAGGGAAAAGAGTTCTTAAATAAAAAAGACAAAGGCAGCCAATTCAGAGAGCACATAACAAAGAATTTACATTCAGCTAAAAATAACAAGGTGAAATCTGAGATCAGAGAGAAACATGGGGGAGGGGAGTCCATGCAAACAGGACGATGCAAACAAGTGAGTAAAGGAAGCAGGTCCCTGACCCACTTCCCAAGCCTGCCCTCCGCCAAGGTAAGGCAGCAGTAACTTCCTGCTCTGTCACCAACGCCCTCCAGCACAAGTCATTTTGCCAAAGAGGAGCACCAAAAGCAAAAACAGGAACGTTCTTTGAAATTGGAGTCAAGCCTTTTCAAACACAGAATCAGGCGAAAATACAGAATTTTGGGAGCCACTGCAGCAGGGAAAGCAGACAAAACTGGGTGGGTTGCCTGTGGACCCCGGATTTAGAAAGCCCTGTGGATTCCAAACACTGGTGACATGTTCCTTTTTGCTCTCAAGCTTCCTCCAGGCCCCGGGCCGGGCAAGCACCGGAATAACATTTCCGAGGCAGGATTTTGTACAAACGGAGCCACTGATCTCCCACCTCCCACGCCTTGTTTTCCAAGCCCGGCGCTCCACGCCATGATCACACGGCCCTGATGACAAGAGCCTTAACTGCAAATCCTACCACTGCCATGCTCCCCATTTTCTCAGGATCTGGCATTGCGATATTAAATAACTATAAAACTAGAAAGCCAAAATAACTAAATCACCTGGCAGCCAATTTCTGAGAGTTAAACCACAAACCCGGAAAATGGTGGAGTGTGTTGAAATAATGTAAAGGAAACCCATAAATTCCAACTTTATGTTCTGTAAAGAACAAATATGAAAAAGGCATCAAAATAATGAAAGATTGTTTATGTATTCTGGCATGAAATGGGAATGTGCTATGAGAGCGCGCACAGTGGCGGAGACAGATCGACGAAGCTGACAGTGTGGTATTCATCCTGCGTGGTGCGGCAGACGGCCCGCTAGTGGCAGGAGACAGCGCAATAAATCAAGGGCTCTCGAAGCTGTACCTACAGCTTATTACATCCAAGATGACAAATAAATAATAATCCCTGTCAGAGCGGCCCTTTGCTCAAGGATTGAGCCTGAACCCTTTGGCTCATCACTCTCATCTTAAGTGAAAACACTAGAACTGGGGAATTGGAGGCCACGGTTTGCTAAGCTCATGAAACACAAAACAAGCAGGGCCTGGGAACTAGGACTGAACAAGAAAGGTCAAGAAGGAAGGAAGGATAAACATTTAAATAATCCTGGCCGAGAGGCGGCGAGGCGGCAGATTGCCTGCGGGTTAACGCGGCCTCATCTTCTGGGGAGGAGGGCAGCGTGACACCCACTCCTCGTGCCCCTTTCTAACGGGGAGAAGTCCCGAGCTGGGGTGTAAATGCAGCCCTCACAGCGCAGGCAGAGGCTAGCAGACACACGCAGGCCCCCACCCTCCAAACCCCTTGCCACCAGGTCTGCCTTCCCACCTCCTCCTCCTCGGAGACGCAAGCGAGCAGTGGGAAGCCATCCTGGACGCAGAGTCATCTCAGCCCTCCGGCTGCCAGGAAGTGAGGCAGCTGTGCAGGCCAGGCCCAGGCGAGAGGAAGGCTGACTCGCAAGCCCTTCTGCGTGTCTCCCTGCCCGGTATCCTGCTCACCTCCTCTCTTGTGCACTTTGAAACTGCCTCTCCCATGTGGGGCTGTAGACACCGCAGCTTCTAAATCTGCCAGGTATCCACAGGTATTGTGCCCTTGAACCTGTCCCTTAACCTTGAGCAGCCCCCTTTTCAACATTCCTGATCAGCTAGATGGACAGTGTCTCCAAGGGCCCTACACAGTTCTTTCAGAGCATATCTCTGTCCGAGTCCACTCTACACTCACCGTGGTTTCCCCATTATCTCTCTGAAAGCAAGGCCATCCTCTTCTCCCTGTCTGACACATCGCTAGATCCTTCGCTGCCTTCCAGAAAGCACAAAGCCTGAGAGCAGGCTCTGAGAGGACCAAAGTGGAAACACACACGCACACACACCCCATCCCAGCAACCTCCAAATACCCTGCCAACAGCCCTAGGCACCAAAAGCCCTAGGCACCAAAGTAAAACTGCATTTTGTGATGTGAGAGAACTGCACAAAGCTGAGTCTGCAAAGGGCAACAAGGACCACCACCAAGGTCAAGGTCCCAAGGGCTAGCATACAAGTTTCTGACATGGCCAAGGGGGAAATGGTTGCCACTTACCCTACTCCCAGAAGACAGAGGGTCTCTACCACTGTTTCCTCTGCCTGCACTTCTGTAGACAAACAGGGCCTGGCAGAGCAGACATGAGTTCAAATTTCACCTCCAAGCACTTGGGTAATCCTAAGTAAGCCACTTACCCTCACTGAGTTTCAGCTTCCTCATCAGAAGAAAAAAAAAAAAAAAAAAAGGCCAGTGCTGCGGCTCACTAGGCTAATCCTCCACCTAGCGGCGCTGGCACACAAGGTTCTACTCCCGGTCAGGGCGCCTGATTCTGTCCCGGTTGCCCCTCTTCCAGGCCAGCTCTCTGCTGTGGCCAGGGAGTGCAGTGGAGGATGGCCCAAGTGCTTGGGCCCTGCACCCCATGGGAGACCAGGAGAAGCACCTGGCTCCTGCCATCGGATCAGCGCGGTGCAGTGGCCGCAGCGCGCCGGCCGTGGCGGCCATTGGAGAGTGAACCAACAGCAAAGGAAGACCTTTCTTTCTGTCTCTCTCTCTCACTGTCCACTCTGCCTGTCAAGAAATAAAAAAAAAAAAGAGAGAGAAAGAAAACACACACACACACACACACACAAATAACTCCCAAACCGAAAGACTGTCTTGCAATGAAGCTTGATACTGCAAACACATTCCGGATGCTTCTTGCTACATCCTTGCTCCATTCTTTGCTCGATGTGTCCAGTTTCCTTTTTCCTCATGTTCTAGTATCCACTAAAGTAGACTTTCATATTAATGATATTATCCACATAACTTTAAATCCACATGAGCCTTCAAAAATATCCAAAGTTCTTTCAAGGACTTTCAAGTTTCTGGTAAAAGTCATTTTAGCCTGGAGCAATGATATAGCCTGGAACTTGGGAGAAACGCATTTGCTTTTTTCTAAGACTTACATATTTATTTGAAAAGTAGAATTACAGAGAAGCAGAGGCAGACAGAGAGAGAGAAAAAGAGAGGTCTTCCATCTGATGGTTCACTCCCCAAATGGCTGCAACAGCCAGAGCTGGGCCAATTTGAAGCCAGGAGCTTCTTTTGGGTCACTCATGGGAGTGCAGGTACCCAAGGACTTGGGCTATCTTCCACTGCTTTCCCAGGCCATAGCAGAGAGCTGGATGGGAAATGGAGAAGCCAGGACTTGAACTGGTGCCCATATGGGATGCCAGCACTGCAGGCAGCAGTTTTACCCACTATGTCACAGCACCGGCCCCAGTGCAACTGCTTTTGAGGGGCAGGTGTTTAGCATCCTACATCAGAGCATCTGGGTTCAAATCTTGACTCTGGCTCCAGCTTCCTGCTAATGTAGACCCTGAGAAGTAGCAACAGTGGTTTGAGTAGTTGGGTTCCTTCCAACCATATAGGACATGCAGCCCAGCACTGACTGTTAATGGCATCTGTGGAATGAGCCAGCAGATAGGAATGTGTTTTACTTCCCTTTCTCTCTTTTCTGCCACCTCTCAAATAAACAAATAGATAAATTTTCAAAAGTGTTTGAGCTATAAGTGGGCAAGTAGCACAATACATTGGAATCCCCTCAGCTCAATAATTCAATGCCCCCAAGAAAATAATTCAAAACATGAAAAATTCATATGCAGTGTATAAAGACATACATCACAAGAAAACATATGGCAACAAACCAAATAGCCCCCTAGTAATTGAGTTTAAAATTTTGTTTAAAATTAATTTTTAAATAGTGAAATGCTTATTGGATAGAATAGTTCACAGTTTTCCAAAAGCATGATGGTTTTGAGAAAAAGTGGGTGATATGTTACATGAAAGGCAGGACACTCCAGTGGTGCAATCAGCAGCGCACTGTACTTATAAGGGGCAGAACAGTAAAGTGACATGTGGCTTGCATTTTAACTACACAGACTTGTGCTTCTGGAAAAAGAAAAAAGAATATACACAAACAGTAAGAGTTGTGATCATGTTCCAGAACTAGATGCAATTGTTTGTATTCTTTCATTTGTTTTTCAAATTTTCTTGGATTATGTTTCGCAGTATTTTTAAAATCCATTTATCTTTTAATTCCATTTTTCCACATATTTGAAAATGTTTTCTTTATGTGGAAGGTAAAGTCAAAGACAGAGACAAAGAGAGACAGAGACAGAGCCACAACCGGCCAGAAATCTTCCATCTACTGTTTCACTCCCCAGATGCCTACAAAAACCAGGGTTGGGCCAGGCCAGGAACTCAACCCCAGTTTCCCACATGGGTGGCAGGGATCCAAGTACTTGAACCATCTCCTGCTGTTTCCCTAGGTGCACATTAGCAGGAAGCTGGACTAGAAGCAGAGTAGCCAGGACTGAAACACACACAGATTGATAGAATATGTGATGTGGGGACCCCAAGCACTGGCTTAGCCATTGTGCCACAACACTCACCCTCACAACACTCTACCTTGAAAAATGACTGAAGGAATTCAAAAGCAAAGAAATGGATTAACAACTGGGAAACTGGGAGCCAAACCTACAGTCACAGAGGAATTACAGGCTCCACTGCTTTCTACTAGTCATTTCCACCCTGGGACACTGTGACAGATGGCAGGCAAGGGATGGAAGAAAGGGCATTTAGATGTGGTGCTCTCTGGCACCTCACCTCCTTCTCCACTCATTTTCCCAAGGTCACTGCCCACTCTGATTGTTAGTACTTTACCATCACCCAGGCATGGCTTCAGCCTGGACTGTGATGTCACTCAGCTCCTCCCCAGCATTGCCAGATAACGCTCTTGCTTCAATCAGCAAACTCGAATCTGAGGGTCTGGCACTCCTCCTGCAGCCCTTTATGAGGTTCTGTTGCTTTTAAACTGGTTCATTGTAGCAAAAAAGCATTTGGAAGGCAAACCACTGAGGACGGCAGGAGATAATGCAAGGGGGTAAGCTTCGAAAAAAACAAAGAGAAGGGAGGAGAGGGGTGGAGAGGAGAGGAGAGGAGAGGAGAGGAGAGGAGAGGAGAGGAGAGGGTGATTCTTTATTCCAAGCCCTGGGCACTTCTATTCACCCAGCCAAGGCTCCAATCCTACAGCTTCCCACTTGTCTACATCTTAATTCCTGAATTCAGTGGGGGAAACCTTCAGAGTAGAAATGAGTAACTTGCCCTCCTTCATCAATATCCCGGGTCAGACAATTGTGGCTGATACTTGGAAGATGGGGTTTAGTTTGCAGAAGACAGGTGGGAACCCTGTTCTTTTGTAAGAACAGAGGAAGAGAAAATAACACATTCTAACTCATTCGGGTGCTTCAATGGATGCTCTAGCTCTTTTACAACAAATTCATAAAATAGTCAGACTTTTTCTAGCTCCCGAAGGTCCATCTTCCATCCTCTGGGTACAGACACCTTCTTTAGGACTCATACAGGTGCAGTTCAGTTACAAAAACCCTTCATGGTGGAGTAGGAACATAGCTCTCCCTTTTTCTCTGTGAGCTCCCTTCCCCCTCTCCCTGCGCATCACTCCCTTGAAAACACCCCAGGCCAGTACACCAATTCAGTGTAGATGTGGGAAAACAGAAGCCCACACAGGTAAGGAACTCTCCCATGACACCAAGTACAGGGCAGGGCTGGGGCTAGGACGAGGTGGTGCCGGCCCCGGATCTTGTTGCTGCACCGTGCTGGTTCCTGTTACCAGTTTTCACCAGCAGAAAAGGAAAAACAACAAACATCTTTCCAACACCTTGAAGGAAATTGTGAAAGGTGGTCCCATATGGCCAACATGAGACCATGACTGTACCGCCACTCCTCCCTACACTGAGGCACTCTCCCAGGCCATCAAAGGGAAGAAAGAACATTTGGGGCTAGGAAGACAGCAGTGTACTGCCCCAAAATCTTAAAGCAAATGCCGTCCAAGATTCGTTTTTGGAACACATCCTATGAGGTATGCTTAGGTTTAGTAGCTGGAAATAGACTAACTTAACAAAGAGGTAAGTAAGAATAATGCAACCATTTACACAATCATATGATCACTGTTTAAAGGTCTTTTTAAAAATATAAACATGGTAATTCTGCTAATACGTGTTCTATACCTTTGCAACAATACAAGAAAGCTGTGAGACGTGGTAACTGTGGAGCTGAACAAGTCCCAGAATCCCACTAAGAAAATAATGTGAGACAATAATGCATATTTCAGGTACACACTATAACTGACTTAAATTATTATAGATGTACTTCATACTTAATTACCTTTCTAAAATATGCCAGGGCATTTTGTCATAAACTCTGCAGCATCCTGCACCTCCACTAAATACTGCTC